TGAAGTTGTGCTGAAGGAGAAGCAGGATTTTGTTTATGAAATTTGCCAGTGGTCGTTACCTCTTATTTTCTCCTAGCAATGAAGGTGAGCAGCTGTGAAGAGAATCTAAAAAAACACTTAGATTTTTTCTTGGAGAGAATTTTGTGATTATGTTTGTTGCAGATTGAACTTTCTGGTTGTGTTTTTCTTTGCTTGTCATCCTGGAACACACAGTGATGGACACAGGCGTCAGTCATGGAGCATACTCCGAGTGGAAGGAGGTGACTTAAAATTTTAAAAAGCAGCACAGATCAACAACCAATTGATCCCAAAGCAAATAATTAATACTTGTCTACTGACTGTACTTATATAATTTTGATTTTCTTATTAAATGTCTCAAGCTTCTCAACTATGTTATGAACATTGATTAAATTTGCGAAATGTAATTATCAATTATTAATAATTTTTATCCAAATTTTCCTAATGAAAAGGAGGGGGCACACTACTTAACAGAAACTTTCTTGTCTTCCTCAATCATCTTAAAGTTCTTCCTGTATTTAAAAAAAAAAGAATCTTTCTTGCTGAGCCTTAAGTTTGCTTGTATCTGGACTGAAGGTTTATGTGAGATGTGTGATTTGAGGTTCCCCGTATACTCCTCTGGAGACCTCTGGAATTTGTGTTGGGGTAGGGGATATTCCCTGCCCCCCAAACAACAGCTTCTTAAACGTTAATAGTAAAATCATTCCAACAAATCATAGAAAAAGCTTGAGATGTGTAGGCCCACAATTATATAAGAAATGACATATTGATAGGTTATTTATGAGGTAGTTTATATTGTGTGTTCAATAAAAAATGCAAAATAGAAATGAACACATGTTCACAGTGAACTGTTTGCAGTGTAAAGAAGAAATGAAAAGTATCTGTGTTAGTGCAGGGGAAATAAAATTTATCAGTTGCTTATTTTGCTATACTTTTTTTCATTTTCTTTATAGAAGCATTTAATTCCTTTGACAAAAGTGTTTTTGTAAAAATGACATCTACTCATTGTAATAAGTAATTTTAAAAAATAGACATGTGCAAAGACTAAAGCAAAATCTCACACTCATTGCCACTGTTCTAGATACAATCAATATTAACATGTTGGTAATTTTTCCCTCCAAAATTTTCAGGAGTTTTTTTGTTTGTTAAAATAAAAATTATAAGACTGAGCTACGAATGGTAACACTGTTTGGAAAAAAAAAATTATAGGGCTGTGTTTCTGGTTCCAAAATGTATTGCACCACATTTTCTGGGGGTGGTGACCAGGAATATTCCTCTTTTCTTTCCTTCCTTCCTTCTTGTTTTTTAATTGCTTAAGTTATGCTCAAGTTAAGTTATATTACATCTATGTTGTAATATAGTCAAGCAATAGAGTAAGACACTGAACAAAATGTCAGACTGTCTTTAAGCCACCTTCACTGTCACTCCTCTTCATGACTAGTAGTGACCATTGTCAACAGTGCGCCGTGCCAGGCACCTGTAGGTGGATTTAGATGCATAGATATGTATATTTGCAAGTTTTTCAAGCAAATAGGGCATATTATTTGTATGTGTGTACTGTTTCATAATTTACCCCTTTCAATTAATGACATAAGTACTGATGAGTGTTTTCCATATTCCATATAATGATATACTGGTGGGGTGTATATTGTTCTGTTATTTTAATTTAATTATTTAATTAATTTTGCTGGCCAGTGTAAGAATTGAACTACAGAACTTGGTGTTAGTTGCACCATGCTGTAACCAACTGAGCTAACCAACCAGCTCTAATTTTATTCTTTTACATTTATTTTAAAAGAAATAAATGAATATATTATTATTGTAAAATATTTAAACTATACAAATAAAACAAAAGTCCTCCTTGAATTTTATGCAATCCCATTTCATTCTCCGGAAGTAAATTCTGTTACCGGTATGATGTACACTTTGTCCTTCTTTTTTTTTTTTTTTTTTAAATGTGTTTATATTTTTATTTTTTTGGTGGCTGGCCTGTATGGGGATACAAACTCTTGACCTTCGTGTTAACAGCAACGTGCTCTCCCTAGTGAGCTAACCGTCCAGGCCTAAATGTATTTATATATGGCTGTATACACATAGATACATAAATGGTTTTGATAAGTGATTTTTAAAATTATCTCAATTTTTCTGCAACTTCTTTTTTCACTGAACAGTGTATCTTAAAGTTATTTCCTTGTTAGTAAATAGACATCTGCCTTTTAAAATTATATTCTATGGCATGGATCAATCATAGTTTATGTTATCATTGTTACTGGTTAATGTTTACATTGCTTTCATTATTTGACCATTATCAATATTACAATAAACATTCCTATACGTGCATTTTTGTGTACCTATTCAAGTGTTCCTTAGCATAGAAAAAAAGAATTGTGGATTGGTGAAAGTGTCCATTTTAAATTTCAATGAGAACTGCCAAATATCCTCAAAAGTCCAGTACCAGTTTGATCTCTTACTATTGGTGATTTTCTATATCTTTACCAATACTGGGTGTAATCAGTCTTTGAAAAAATTTTCTGTTCTCATGGATGATCTCATTATCAATTTATGTGTACGTATTTTTCTTTTTATTGCCCATTTTTATTTTGGATTTTTTTATTGATTTGTAGGAGATCTTTTTTTTTTTTAATCTAAATCCTTTTGTTATATATGTTTCAAATTTTTTCTCCTTGGTCTGTTATTTGTCTTATACTTTATGATATATTTCATCACTTAAAAGTGTTTAATTTTTACATAGTCAAGTTACTATTCATATTTTCTTGAATTTTGTTTCTTGCATAAGAAAAAGGCTTCTTTAGCAAGGTTTATACACATACTTCTATAATTAAATACTTGGAAAATGATTAAATTTTATTGTCTCAAGAACATTTATAGAATTTTGTCCTTTACTGATTTGGAATACTATCTTTATCATAAACTTAATTCAGAAATACATGTGGTACTATGCAGAACACATGTCTCTTCTGTTGACCTATTTGTCTACACTATTGCCAGATCATACTTTTAAATGATTATAGCCTTATAAAAACTTTGCCTGTGAGTGAGAGCATACCTCCCCAGGTTAGTCTTTTTCAGAATTTTTTTCTTTTCTTATATATTTTTTCATCTAATAATATTTATATGGTACTACAAAACATCAAATAAATTCCTGTGGGTATTTTGATAGTTATTATACTGAATTTTAGATTCACTTAGGGGCAGATTTTACATTTTTGCAATACTGTATCTTTTTGTCCAGAAACATGTTATGTCTCTACATTAATTCAGATCTTATATGGCCTTCTATCAAGTTCTGTGATTGTCAGCTTAAAGGTCTTACATGTTTTAGGTTTTTCCTGTATATTTTATTGGATTTTTTGCTGTTGTGATTGGAATTAAATATATTTTATAATTACTTATTGCTTGTATATAAAGCTTTTGCTTTTTTTTTTTTGTCCATCTTATAGCCATAGAACTGTACCAGAATCTTCTGTCAGTTCTTGCAGTATGTTAGTAGTGGAGTGTCAGTTGATTGTCTTTGATGTTTTAGAGCAGCTCTGTCCAATAAAAATATAGTATAAGCCATGTATGTAATGATAAAAATCCTAGTCATCATTTTTTTTTTTAAAGAAACAGGTGAAAGTAAATGTAATGATGTATTTTAACCCAGTATATCTAAAATATTATTATTTCAACATGTAATCAGTATAAAAACCATTAGAGATATTTCACATTTTTCTTCTTTTTTTTTTCTATTACATCTCTGGAATTCAGTGTGTATTTTATACCTACAGCACAATGCAATTCAGACTATTCACATTTCCAGTGCTCAATAACCCCAAGTGGCTAACGGCACTGCATTTCTCAGTGGACAATCATACCACTTGCTAATAATGAAAATTTTTTCCTAACTTTTGTTGTTGTTGTTTTGGTCTTAATGTTTTTGCTTAGAGCACCAACAGTACAGTGCTAATGTTGATATTAATGAGAATACTTACACTATTTGACCACTATGGATTTATGGTTAGAGTGATTTTAGAAACCAAGGAGAAGTTTCCTCCCCTTTCTGGTTTGTAAGAATTTTTTTTTTTTCTTTAAACTACAGATAAGTTTTACATTAAAAAAAATTTGTTTTTTCCTTTTATCTGTTGACCATATTTTTTTCTCCTTTTTTTTTTTTTTTTAAATAAGAAATAATACTTTTTAAATGGTGAGCCGTTCTTGTGTTTTGGAGACAAAGTCTCTTGATCACGATGCATTTGTTCTTTTAACCAATTTTTCCTACTAGATTTCCTTTTGCTTTTGTTTAATTTAGGCTATCTAAAAATCTCTGTTGATTGCTCTAGTTTGTTTTAAATGCAGTCTTTGTCTAGTTTTTGTAACAGAAGATTTTTCTGGCGTTGTCAAATGTGTTGTGTAACTGTGATTCTTTTTCTATACTTCAGAACTGCTTATTATAATATGAGAATTATCTGTTCTTTTGTGTTTGGCAGACTTATTTGTAAAATAAATCTGGACTTGGTTTGTTTTTTAGGGTTAGCTCTTTGACTCCATTTTCCACTCTTGTAAGGTATTTGTCCATTCAGGCTTTCTTCTTCTTTGACCAAGTTTGGTATTTTGTATTTTCTTAGATATTTTTATATTTTATTTATGTTTTCAGATATATTGGTATAAAATTGTACATGAAATTTTCTTATGATTATCCATAGTTTTTATATGTAAAAAAAAATCTAGAAAGATTTATAATAAACTTAAATAGTGGGTTATCTATGGGAAGTGGAAGTGGAATTATGAGACTAGGGAATGATAGTATACAAAAAAATTTTATATACTTGGGGAATATGAATTTTCAAATAGTAAACTTGTTTTACTTTTATAATCAGAAAAGTGATATTTCAAAATTTTAAACAAAAAGTATAGAATGTTGTACAGAAATACATTCTTCGTCTTGGTAGTTGTACATCCTAATTGTGTGTTTTCTTCTCAAGCTGGTCTCTGGACTGTCTTCACGCTAGGCGGTGTGGGCAGCAAAGCAGCTGTCACTCCAGAGCTTTCTTCCCCTCTGGCCAATCAGAGTCTCCTGCTTCTGCTGGTGTTGGCCAACCTGACAGATGCTCCAGATGCACCAAACCCCTACAGACAGGCCATTATATCCTTTAAGAACACGCAAGGTTGGTGCTGTTTTTTTTCTGAATATTCTTTCTAATGAGGAGAGTATTATTTATTTTATATTGTTTATATTATATATAACATATATTGTTTATATTATATATAACATATTATTTATATTGTTTATATTATTTATATTGTTTATATTATATATAACATATTATTTATATTATATTATATTATATTATTATAGTTTGGGAGATGAGTGTCAATTTTCATATTTTCATATTGGTTAAAAATGAGGAAATCTTAGATTTTCTTGTCAGTAGTTTCATGAAGGTCAAATAAATATTAAAAGGCAGCTGTGGTCCTCTATATCCATTTAAATTTACATTTCTTTCAAAGATAATCAAACCAGCATGTGCTTAATTTGGATCAGTCTGTACTACCTGTTAGGGATAGGCATTAACCTGGAAAACCCCAAATGATAAGTTGTTTAATATTTTTATTTAAAGTCTGTATTCCAGTTAGAGTTTTATAGAATGAAAAGTTAGAACAGAAATCAGCAAACTTTTTTCTGTACAGGAACAGTGGCTTTAGGGGGGCATATGGTCTCTGTTGCAGCCTCTTAAGTCTGCCCTTGTAGCATGAAAGTAGCCATTGATAATACATAAACACATGAGTGTGGCTGTGTTCCAGTAAACCTTCATTTCCAAGATGGGTGGTAGGCTGCCCATGGGTTGTAATTTGCTAACCCCTAAAGTAGAATATAAGCAGCTATTCCCATGTTGAGAGAGTAATCTCTTGTCAAAAGGTTACATTCTAAAAGCGAGATCACTACAGTAGTTAAATTTTCAAGATGTGTTCAACACTAATATAATTAAGATGGGTGATGGGCCGGCCCGGTGGCGCACTGGATAAGTGCGCCGCTTGGGAAGCGCGGCGGCGCTCCCGCCCGAGGGTTCGGATCCCACA